AAGAACCGGCCTTCATCAGCATCTGACTTTTTTTTTGAATCATATTGACCTCTTTTCTGTACATGTCCATACGCTGACGATCGTTGAGATCACCAGCACCCCAGCCCATCGTGATGCGAGCCAATTTGCCATTTGCATGTTCTTCTTCCATAATAATCTCGTTTTGAGCAATCTCGTCAAACACGGCATCCAAAAACTCTTCCGGTAAATCACTATCGCCATTGATTCCTTTGTTGTTTTTGATAAATGCCGGCTTGTCCATACGGTTTTTGATTTGACTTGAATGTTGATCGGTATTCAACATCATGACAGAAAACGCCAACGTATAGGCTGCATCAGCGTTGGCAAAAACTCCTGGATTGCTTTCACAATACCTATCGGCAAATTTTTCCATCATACGATCAATTTTCTGTGCTTCTCCAGGAAGACGGAAATGTTGTAGAAAAAACCGAAGAGCTGCCACAAAAGCCATACCAGAAAACTCCAAAGCATCTACAAAAGCATGCATAACCTTGATATTGTGTGGGTCGCCCTCGCCAAGATAAATGCCAATAGCACTTTTGCTAAGCTCAGGAGTGGTCAACAAAAATTCTGAAATAGATTCTGGATCTAGTGTAATAAATTTGATGTCGGCAAGAGCTTGAATTCCTTTTTTAGGACTTTGATTAAATATACGCACGGCACGACGAAGCAGCTGTTTGCGAGAAACGACTTGCTCCATATCTTGCTGATTGGTTTCGGCAGGTTTGGATATCAGTCCGTCAACGAATTCTTTCCGAATCGTCTTGTCCATGGTTACAGATAAAAGAGGGTTTCGATTGCCTACAACAACAGTGCGTGCATGGTTTGTGGGTGCCAATGCATCCATAAAAGCAGTAGCTGTATCCGAAAATCCATCTAGAGATTTGGTAGCGCTAGAAGGGCCCGCGTATATTGGCCCACTTTTATCGTTGAGTCCAACCATTGTTAAAGGCTCCAAGCTACCAGCTTGATCAGGATTAGCACTATCACTGCCAGTTTGATCGGTAGACTCAGGCAACAGTTGTGAAATGTCATGGTTTTGGACTATAGGCATATCTTGTGGTAAAGGTTCTTGACACCATGTATCCAACGATTGGATCGCAGCAACCAATGCACACAGTCCTTTAATCTTGAGTTTCTGGTCTTGTTCGCGAATTAGCTCAGCCTTGGAATCAAGCCCTACAGCAAATCCAACAATTGCAAACGAAGAGTGGGATGCGGATTTAGACGACAAATCTGCTCTTCCCTGAGTGATTTTGGCACAGATATTAATGATTTTTTCAAATACAGAACTAGTGGCCATATCACAATCGTAATTCACATATAAATCTACAAGGGTTTGTGGAGTTTCACAGATTTTAACTAGACCTTGAAGAACAATACTTTTTTGTTTATAAGTCGAGTTGCCCATTTCAAGAATCTGAAGATAGATGGTGGATAATAAAACTTCCACTTCCACTTTGAGCTTGTCGCGATAGTATCGGATGACAAG